GAGGTGATGAAGGACTGGTAGAAGAAGAATTTTTCCACAATGATATGAGTTGAGCTGACTTTTCCATTGAATTTCTCATAGCCTTGCTTTCCCAAACAGTTTCATCAACCAGGCAGGAGAGGATTACAGTTTCCACCTCTGGCCTTATCAACACCTCCAGCTGGAGTCGAACCATGACGATGCAGCGTGTACTCCCGACTAGTTGACCATTGCGCCACATTGCCAAAGCTATGTGGAATTCAACGGAATATTCAAGCGCCTATTCATATCATTGTGAGAAAAAATTCAATTGCCACACCCTAATCACATTTAACGAACTATTGGTTGAAATTGTTGCTTTTGAAAGTGAATATGAAAGGTGAATGAGAATGGTGATTTCATAAATGGTTTGAAAGTACAAAATATAGCTTCATATCAGCGAAATGGAATCGAGAATTGAAAATTAAATTGAAATGGCGATTTCAAAAAAAGAAATTAAATGACGAATTCGAACATCAAAGTAGAGTTGCAATTTTACAGTTAACTAAAATGGTCATTTTAAAAAGTGAATTGAAAGTGAGCTTTTAAAAGACGAATTATAATTTCAGTTTTAAACAGTGAATTGAAATGGGGATCTCAAAGTGTGAACTGTAATTCTGGTGAGCCAGATATAGGTCACCAGTGTGTGTATGTGCTTGTGTGCATTTTTCGTGTATGTGCTTGACCACGAGGGATACCAGCCGACAGGAAAAAGAAAATCATAGTATCGTAGGATTAGACGGGAGGAAGATTGCCAGGCACTGGAATGGGCATCATCTACTCCAATTACTCGAATATGGCGTAACTGGGGATGGGATTTAAGGACTTTTAAGCAACCCTATTTCAGACAGTCCGACAGTGATTTTGATGTCTTGTGCGACAGTCCTAGCGACAATGGAGGAAATTAGAGCACACAATTGTGTGAATTGGTAGATGGGCCATATGAAGTGGGGTTGAGAGAAAGAGATGTGGTACTAAAAGTTGAAAGAAAAAATAGGGCCGAGTAGTTATGCCACAAAGGTTGAACAGGAAATTGGTCCCTTTGATCAGTTGTAACTATGTCCAAGCGAAGACGTTTCACATCGTCAATATCAACTACGATACCAACGAAACGTATGGGAATGTATCAACTCAATATTCCGAAGCTGTAAATCACAAATACTTCGTGCCGCTCCGAACAAGTTGTGAAAACTACGTCGAATTAATACTAGAAAGTAGACTTTATTTTCGAGGGAAAATCGGAATAGCATTCACACTCGACTGGTCCTAATCGACAATTCGTTGGTTTCCGAATCTGATCTGAGCTGAGTCTTCTGAGCCAGGCACGGAGGTGCATGTTTGCTGATTCATGGAAAGGATGAAAACTAAGAGAGATCGTGTATGTCTAGAAATGCTGTCTTGCAATGTAGCCAAACGGGATTCAGGACATATTGCCTCGCATTCCAAGTCCCACTGGCGTTGATGGCATAATTTTGGCAATGTTTATGATGCAAAGCATAGTTCAATTCAACTTAAAGTAAAGCGGCATTTTCCATTCTTCTTGCAGAAAGCTGAAGCGAGCCCTTATAAAGCCATTACAATCAGGTCTCACTTTGCCATAAATTGAGTTCCTCTCGACTGTGATAAGCCGAGTACAAGCCAAAATGCTGCGTTCGAATCGTGTCAAAAAGGAAGTTCTGAACAAGACGAGGTCGAATCTAAAGACTCCTCTGCAGATTATGGCATTCTTACACATTGACACGAGCATCAGTGCT